ATAGAGACTTAAGAGATACCTTCTATTCAATTTTCTCGAGTAACCTAGTGTAAGAAGAATTGTGCTAGAAATGGAAGTTAGCTCAAAATGGAATTTTGAAGGAAAAGAAGAAGCAAAGAAAGCCTCAGCTTGCACTGTAAGAAGTTATCTCAATACCTTAAATGCAAACATCAACAAAAATGATACTACAAAAAGTGTAATCCCTCTTAGCCATGGAGATCCCAGTGGTTTTCCAAGTTTTCGAACAAGTAAAGTATCAGAAAATGCTCTCCTTGATGCACTTCAATCTGCGCAATACAATGGATATCCCCGAAACCCTGACATTTTCCACGCCAGTAGGTAATCCTAAACTCTTTTTGTAACTTTTTTTCTAGGGGTAGGAGAAATGGGTGAGTGAATTACAAGTTCAAAGTTCGAGTAGCCAACCAATCGAGCTACTGAGATCCCTTTTCGGGGTTAGAGTACAAAAAAAAGGGAAGAGTGTCGTATAATTGGTATGGAGGGAGCACTTGATTGTAGAATTGGGATGATGTGTTTATGGGTGATCCAGCTTTTATAATTTATTTTGGGGTTTGACTAGTTTTACCAGGAGTTGATTTTTTGTTTACTTTTCCTTCATTTGAGCCCCAGCGGCGGAGCTAAGATTTTCATACTTAACCCCCAGTATTAATTATACTCCTTTGAAAAGGATTAGCCCGTGATAGTAATGGTTATAGTTATGACTCGAGTCTGTGTTACACATCAAGTGCATTGAACTTAAACTCTTTTCAAATCGTTATTGTACACCGGAAGGGCAAGAACAATTCGAGTAATGTTGATGTTTCAAACATTTACCAGGTCAATTGCAGAATATCTCTCTCGTGACTATCCATACAAACTGTCGCCAAATGATGTTCTTGTCACAGCTGGGGCGAAGCAAGCAATAGATGTCCTAATTACAGCTCTGGCTGTTCCTGGTGCTAATATTTTGCTTCCTAGACCAGGGTATCCAGCCTATGAAGCACTTGCCACATTTAACCGTCTTGAAATGAGGCACTATGATCTTCTCCCTGAGCAGGATTGGGAGGTGGACATCGATGGGCTTGAAGCTCTAGCAGATGATAGAACTGTTGCTATGGTTGTTATAAACCCTGGTAATCCATGTGGGAATGTGTACAAGCGAGAGCATTTGAAGAAGGTTGTTTCATCGTTGCATTAGATGTGTTTATTTAGTTAAATGTGGTTTTAGATTTGCTCATTAATCGTTGGTTTCTTGAATGAGAGTAACAGATTGCAGAGGCTGCTAGTAAGCTTGGAATGCTAGTAATATCAGATGAAGCCTATGGTCATCTAGTGTTCGGTAGTAATCCGTTTGTGCCAATGGGCGTCTACGGAGAAATTGCACCTATTCTGACAATTGGTTCCATATCAAAGAGATGGTTGGTTCCTGGTTGGCGATTTGGTTGGATTGTGATGTGCGATCCCAATGACATCCTTAAAAAACACGGGGTTCTCTCTCTCTCTCTCTCTCGGAAATTCTGATGGAACAAATTTACCTTTTCTTTCTTGTTTTAAGTGAGAAAAATATATGAATCTTGGAACAAAATAGCAAGTACTCTAAATGCCTATCACTTACGCCGTGAACCTCACATTTCTACTTGCTTATAAGGGTGTTTATTAATACAGACATCCATGTGCAGAGTTAAACATCATACTTTTTGTCTTTTGATCTCAGGTTGCGGAGTCTATCAAGAACTACCACAACATCGGTGTTGGACCTCCTACACTCACTCTGGTATATTATGCAAAACGTTTGATATGGTGTGCCATTAACTGAAATGTTAAACCAAACAAAATGTTGTCACCTTAAAAGCATAGAAAACTACTCTGTTAGCAGTAGTTTAACAATGGTATGATGATATCTGGCCTAAACATTTTCATGTCAACACAAAATGCATAATTCCAGATACTCGGGTTGCATTAGCATCCAAATTATACTCTCTCCATTTCAATTTGTTTGTCTTACTTTCCTTTTCCTAGACAAATATCTTTTCCCATATTTCTGAATTATCACGTGGTGTTTCTCGTGATGCACATTATTTTTCATGAAGTATTTTTGTGCTATTTGGATTATATTGCTTCCAAAAAAATGAAACCAAATCCAAGTATCTAACCTTGTTCTCTTTCATTCTCGAGGGTGCTATTACTCGTATTCTTGCTGAAACACCTGAAGATTTCTACTCAAATACCATAAACCTACTGAGAAAAGCAGCAGGCATTTGCTATGCTGGTCTAAGGGAGATTCCGTGCTTTACTCCATACAAGTCACAAGGATCCATGTTTCTTATGGTATTGCTATAAACACCTTAGTCCTAATATAAGTATTTTTTAGGATTTAGTTTGAAAAAGAATCTGAATATATAGTCTTATTTGCGATCATTTCTATCAGGCAAAACTAAACATGTCATTGCTGGAAGGCATCGACAATGATATGGAATTCTGCACTAGGCTTGCTAGAGAGGAATCTGTAATTGTTCTACCCGGTAATTTCTTAAGTTGCATTACTCTACAACATTATCGATATGCAGAGGAAATTTTACATGCATTGTTGATAAATTCAATGCATTGCAGGGGAAGCACTTGGATTGAAGAATTGGGTAAGAGTTACTTTTGCTGTGGAAATTTCAGCTCTTGAGGATGGCCTTAGCAGGATCAAAGCCTTTTGTTTCAGAAATGCCAAACAGCAATAAGCCTTTTTTCTTCCGTCACTTTGTCAAACTTGGTCCAAGTCTACAACAAAAACAAATACTAATAAAAGTTGTAGGAGTTGACCGATGATTGCTGCTCAACAATTCATGTGAGATACGTTTGAACTGATTCAAATTATGTCATATAGGATGCACATGTCTACTTGTCAAGTTTAAGTGTCTATTTATACCTACTAAAGTTGGAAGGCATAAATGTCGGTTAACATCAAAGTATTATGCCTATATATAATCATACATATACATACCATAAAAATATACCACAATAAAAATCTAGCTATTTTTTGTAACAACTTAAAACAACTATTCCCTTTATCCAATTTAAATTTATATGATTCACTTTCCTTTTTAATCAATACAAAAAAGAATGACACATTTTTATATTTAGTAAAAATAATTGAACTTTAATATATCTATTTTACCCTTAATAAATGAATTATAGCAACACAAACATCAATGATTTATTTTAGACCACAAGTTTCAAAAGTCTATTTTTAAATCCATGTGAAATCAAACTACTATATCATACTTCATCTGTCCAACAATACTTATATATTATTGACTTTGCACACTTCTTAAGAAACTATAAATAGAAGAGTGATCTTATTATATCACCATTTGAATATAATTAATACAATGTCTAGAAAAATGACTATAATTAATGATAAGGATAAAATAAAAATTAAGTGTAAAATTATCTATTGATTTCATAAAGTGGACAAGTATTGTTGGACATCTCAAAATAGTATAGTGGACAGGTATTGTTGAACGAAGGAATATAAATTGAGACGGATAGAGTATTAAAATACATAATTAGTGAATTTTTATGTCTTGTCATATTACATAATTTTTCCATTTAAGTATTACAAACAACTGCGGCTGTTAAAGCCAAGAGCACAAAAAGCCCACAAATGTCAAAAGCAACATAACGGACTTGCCTCCTCTTCCCTACCGTTAAACCAAAAAGCCCAACGAGCCCAAATTCCGCCGCTAAAATATATTCAAATGCCGAATAAAGATAAATTATTTTCTCCAACGGCTCTTTTTCTTCTTTACATTTTATTCAAAATCCCACCCAAGAACAATCTCAACAAAAAATCAAGAACAACAAAAAATATTGAAAAATTTGAAATTTTTGAATCTCAACTATGGATACAACTCCTCCATCTCATCGATCCGAGACTCGAAGCCGAACAAAATCAGCTTCAAGACTCTCAAGGCTCCGCCGTTATGATGAAGAAAGTGAATCTCTCACTCCAAGAGTCTCTCTTGAAATTGTCCCTTCACCAAGAATAGAAGTTTCTCCTTATGGTAACGGCCTACCGCTCCACGAGCTTCTCCTTCTTTCTCCTTCTCCTCTTCGAAGATCCAAGACTCGTCTTGCTGATAAGCTTGAATTAGTTGATGATGGGGTTGAGCCTAATGGGGTTCGAAGGAGGAGAAGGAGTAGAAATTCTGCAATTGGTGTTTCCCCGCGTAATAATCGGAGATCGAGAAGAAGGTTAGAGCAAGAAATGAGAGAAGAGAGGGACTTGGGGTTAGTTGAAGAAGTGGTTAAACCAAGAAAGAAGAGGAATAATGGTAAATCCAAGAAGGATAAGCTTAGCTTGGTTCTTTCAAACTCATCAAGTATGTATCAAAATCCAATCTTTATTGTTTTAAATACATATTTCATTTCTTGTGCTGAATGGGTATTTCTTTTTTCTAGTTATAGAATCGAAAGAAGGAGAAGGATGTGATTTAATAAACAGAATTGAGATACTTTTAAGTGATTTGGTGATGTGGAGAGATGTGGCAAGATCAAGTCTTTGGTTTGGTTTGGGGTCTCTCTGTTTCTTATCTTCTTGTTTTGCCAAAGGAGTTACTTTTAGGTATATTTTCTTCTCATTTTCCAAATATCCCACTTTTTATTTAGGAAGTGTTATCCATATGACATTTTTGTTTATTCTTGATTGCAGCATTTTCTCTATCGTATCGCAATTGGGGTTACTGTTTTTAGTTGTTTCATTCTTCTCACATTCGATTCGCCAAAGGTAAAAGTTTAAATTCCTTACACTAGAATATTATTAAGTTTCTACTGTTGTTGCTGAATGCTGATCAATTATTGAATTGTAGGGCTGGTAGAGAAATGAAGCGCGAATATCAGCTGACTGAAGATGACATTTTGAGAATGGGAAGATTGATACTTCCAGCTGCAAATCTCGCAATTTCAAAAACACGAGATCTTTTTTCGGGAGAACCTGCTATGACCCTCAAAGTATGTTATTGAACTTACACATTTTAGCACTAAAATTTGACTTCTTGTAATTGATTGGAAATGTGCCTGTCTGTTGTTTTAGTTAGTGCCAATCTTTATAATTGGAGCTGAGTATGGCCATTTGATAACTGTATGGAGGCTTTGTGCCCTTGGTAAGAAAGATCACTCAATTGTCCTACATACACATTATTAGTATGAAATCTCTAAACAATTGAAACTAAATACTTGTTGGTGTTCAATCTTGTGACAGGTTTTTTCATCAGTTTTACTGCCCCGAAACTTTATTCCTCGTATTCTCATCAGATATATAGTAAAGGTAAATAAGTGTTTCAGCCTGATATGTAGATTGTTAGATTATTTCCTGAGTGATGGTTGCCTCTACCTTTTGCATTAATTGAATGAAAAGTGCGTATTTTGTTGATATAGCCAAGTATTTGAAATATCGGTTGCTGGAAACTTGGGGTGCTTGCTCTCACAAGAAGATGATAGCTGCATCAGTATTGACAGCATTTTGGAACCTTACCACTGTCAGAACACGAATCTTTACAGGTAATTCACGAACCAATTCGTTCATTATTTTGATACCTTGGATTGAACCAATTCTCTAAGCCATGTTTACAAAGTAGTATCTTTCTAACAAATGGTTGTTACCTTGGATTGAACCAATTCTCTAAGCCATGTTTACAAAGTAGTATCTTTCTAACAAATGGTTGTTACCTTGGATTGAACTTTCACATTGAACTAAAACGTATTTTCGTGGTTCTTGGAAGCATTCATAAGCTCACCATGTATACAAAGTAGCATCTTCTAACAAATGGTTGTTACCTACCTTGGATTGAACTTTCACACTGAACTAAAGAGTGGTTTTTTCTGTTCTTTGGCAGCATTTATAAGTCTAGTAATATTCAGATACTGTAAACAACATGAAGAGGTAAAGGTCGATGAAGAAATGGTTGAAGTGGAAGAAGAGGAAGAAGAGCAGCAGCAGGCATTGGTTTTGTTAGAACCTGTCAAAAAAGGGGCATAATTGTGCACTATGCCAAATTTATCACTTCTATAATACTAACATAATAACCCCCTCTTGTTATTTTTCTCAATCTATCAAGGAAGAAGAAAACCTTGTTGTATGTCCTTGTATTTTTTGTATATCCAATCAAAGCAAGGAAGAAGAACTTTGGTGCTCTTCTGGAAATAAGGAAATCTTATCTTTACTTTTCCACTGCTTTATTTATCTATTTTCTTGATCATCATATGAAATCAACTTAAATGAAGAAGTGGGGATTCGTTTCGCCGATTCCAACTTATTTGGAAGTGTGACATAGTTATTAGTGTTATTTATCTATTTTTTGGGCATTTTCATTGACTCTCAAAGCTCAGCAACCTGTTTAAGGGATACCAAAACTCAGAAGGAAATCAAGGAATAAAAAAGGTGGAGGTAATATTACTTATAACATGTATAATACAAAATGTTTGGTATTTGTACTAAAAATGAGATATAGGGGATAAAATATGAATTTAATTTTTTTAAAACTTAATTTAATTGAAAGGATGTTGAAGATGGGGTGTTTTAGTGCTTGAACCATGTGTTACTTGATCCATATATTTGGTCAAATTTATAATTGATCCATAAATAAATAGAATCATATGAAAAAATTACACCTAATTAATACTCCCTTTGTTCCATTTTTATGATATATTTTTCTTTTTAATTTATTTTAAATAATAGTTACATGCTTACCATCCCTTAAATTTGCCACTAAATTTTATTTATATACTCGAACTTTAAAGCAAAAATAGTTTTTAGCCATTTACAACTTTTTTTTAAAAGTTTTATAATGTTTTTACGAGGGATTTTCATTTTTACACATAAGAAATTTGAAAAATGTCATTTTCCTCTATTCAAATTGTAAGAGGTCAAGAGGTTTTCTTGGAACTCCAGTTTGTTTTATTTGAACACCTAAACATATGATAAAATGTTATTATTGAACGTTTTCTGTTTAGTTTCAAAAAAGTTTTTGCACGCGTTCTGAAGCAACCATTACGTAGATAGGTCAACCACTTAAATATGTCAATCCTTTAATTGTAGACATTAATCGTAATAAGCTGTCAAACCTCATGCTTGTTCTAATTGAGGTTAATGTATATAATTAAAAGAAGTAACATATTTTATGTGATTAACTTATTCACATAATAGATGCTTGAAAACGCATGCAAAAGCTTTTGAGAATTTTTAAAAATATACAACCCAACATAAGATATTAGGCACGTAGCTAATATACAATATTATATGACATTATACAATATCATACAAAATTGTACCTGATGAGAAAAAATTACTATATAATGTGTCAACCTTGTAAAAGAGTGTATACCAATATATAAGAAGTGCTTATCATCATATGAGAGAAAAATGAGATTTATTGACCTCTTACAATTTGAATAGAAGAAAATAATCTTTCTAGATTTATCATATGTAAAAAATGAAGAAATTTTATGAAAAAAGACATAAAAATAAGATATTCCATTTGCTTTTTTCTCCAATAGTGAATTACGTAGCCAATATACAGTATACAATATTATATGACATTATACAATATTATACAAAATTATACCTAAATGGAAAACATTATACCTAATGTGTAATTATTGTAAAAGAGTGTACAATACTAGATAAAATGTGCTTATACACAAATAGATAAGAGAAAACTGAAATTTATCGTCCTCTTACTATTTGAATAGAAGAAAATAATATTGAATAGAAGAAAATATTTTTTTCAGGTCGATAAAAGTGAAAATCTTTTGTGAAAAAGGACATAAAAATAAGATAATTGATACCAATTATTTTGCATTTGCTTTTTTCCCAATTAAATTGCTTTTTTGGGCACACGCGACC